TGCTATGTTGTGTTTGTAGCTTATTAGATTAATGATCATAAGGATCATCCTTTTGTGTTGATTCGATTTGTAGTATGCATAATATATGAGTGTGTTGAATAAATGAGGAAACTTTACGGTTTTCTCTGTTTGTGTTTGTGTGAGAGAGATTTCTAAGTTTTTGAATTAAGATTTGCAAGAAATTATTTAAGAACAAAGAACATGAGCATCATATGGCTCTTTTTTAAGTAGTTCTAATACATTGATTCGATCATGATTATTGTTGTCTTAACAGAGACAGGGATTGTGACATTATGAACACCATCAGTCCATGTTAAGCTACCAAAGAAATAACCAGTGTTGACTTTATGACTTGTTTTAGCCTTAACTGAGAAAGTGAGTGTTCTCTTAGCAGCAGAGTTAAACACGAGTGTGGTCGGGTTCACGGTGAGAGTTATACCGAGGGGAGGTTCGATCACGGCTTTATAGACTGATTTGATGGGTCCAACGTTGGTTACAGTTCTTGTGAGTGTGACTTCATTCTCAAGATTTGGAATAGTGATTGAAGGTAAGTTGATATCAAGAATTGATGGCTGAGGAGTTTGGCATTTCGTCTTTTTACCGAGTACACGGGAGATTGAGGAGTCGTTGTAACCCGCGGAACACATGTAGTTGAAGTAGTCTTCGATACCCATATCGTAGACAAGTCCAGGTTTTGCAGCTTTTTCAGGGTTTACAAGTCCTCCTCCATAGTCAAATGGATCTGCAAGCTTCGTGTTTGATCCTTCTGCAAAAATGGGATCTCCCGATGGACTTGTTCTCCAAGCTTCAAAAAGAAACCGATTAGTATTTATTTATCGGCGAATAAGAAGAATTTGGGAATGAAGAAGAAGAACCTGTTGTGACCAAAGCTGATCTTATTGCAGCAGGGGACCAGTTAGGGTGTAGAGACTTGAGGAGAGCTATGATTCCGGAAACAACAGGAGTTGCCATTGATGTCCCTGATAAGATTCCAAATCCGTCGTGTTGTTCAGGATCAAGCGGACTTACTGCCGCGAGTATGCTCACACCCGGAGCTGCTAAATCAGGCTAGAGAGTAAAACATGACCCAATATTTAACAAGTTTTACACAAAAGGTTTCAAATTTTGAAGTAAACATAGATTAGAGACACAATGGCTTTATAACCTTGAGAATGGCTGGTGAAACTGAATAAGGCCCTCTACTTGAGAATGCAGGAACCTTAGTCGTTGCAGGCAGACCGTTCAAGGTCGTTGCCACACTTATTCTCACTGTGGGCGATCTGTTGACTCGAGGGATCAATATATGTTTGTTTCGTTGAAATGTAATAAGACTTGTTTAACAGTTTGTTTCTTTGCTTCAAGATGTATATATCTAACCTGGTGGAACGAATGTATTGTAAAATGGCGGTTCCAAGCTTGTAATCTACGCTAATGCACGGGAAAGCACCGCATGGAGAAACAGGATTGTCGAGCTCTCGGGCAAAGATGTATCCTGCTACACCTTTCCCTATAATTGGAGTGATCTGTTTAAAAACAAGAACTATTTTCCCCTTCACATCAACATTCTTGTCACTCTTTGAATCCAAGAAAGCTAAACCAGTTGAAATCTCCGGTCCAGTGAACAGAGATTCAACCTAAAAGGCACCAAGGCAGATCAAGAAGTTAGAAAAGCTCAAAACTTTGAACTAATTTGAGTTTTTAAGGGTCAAAACTTTGAGCTAATTTCTCAAACTAATTTGAGTTTTCTTTGGCACAAAACATACCAAGAGGGTTTGTTTATTGCCAAGAGTGATATTTGTAGGAAATGACCGGTCAAGAGTGGTTGCTGCAACGGTTAAGAACCAAGGAGCACCATTGACAACAGTCTGAGCACCAGGCCCATCGTTACCCGCCGCAGCCACAACCGGAATCCCTTTAGCCACCGCATGAAAACCCGCGATATACATGAGGTCAACGACTTCCGAATCCTCGGGAACGGCCGCGCCAAGAGATACCGACAAAACATCAACCCCGTCATGTATAGCATCATCAAAAGCCTTCGAAATATCAGCAGTTGTGCATCCACCGTCTAGCATTGTGTTCCAACAGACCTTGTAGGAGGCTATACGGGCCCGAGGAGCACCACCTCGGACCGTACCTAAGAAGAATACCACATTCGTTAGGAAGGAAAGAAACTATTGTCTTATAAAAACCGGTACCTTCACTCTTAAGCTAGCTTTAGTGGTTTTTCCAGCCTTGGTTTAGGCCAAGCTACATATCAGTACCTGAGGCTAGACCATAGAAGCTCACGTTGGGGATGAATGAGCCACCTGCTATTGTGGCTGTATGCGTGCCATGACCGACTGTATCTCTGTTGGATTTGAAGTCGTTGATTACTGTTCTGTTGAATTTTCCTCCAATTAAGTCTAACATGCCTTTTAGGTAGTACTTAGCTCCTATTAACTTCTTGTTGCAATGTATTTTGGCGTTAAACTGTTCTCCTGATTCACATTTTCCTCTCCAACGCTTAGGTACTGGTCCAAGGCCTTGATCGTTGAATACCTTTGACTCTGGCCATATCCCTACATATACAAACATCATGTGTGCC